CGGACGAAGGCAATGGCAATGGCAAAGGCAAAGGCGAAAACCAGAGCTGAAGGATAAGTAGAAGGAGAAGGAAAAGCAGAAGGCGAAAGGAGAAGCTGAATCCGAAAGCAGCAGCCGTTGATTTATGATAGCATCCGTGAAAGTTTTCGACCAAAACTTGGAGTTTAGCGCCCGGCAAGTGATAAACTGCAATGTCTTCCACTCTGTTTTGCAAAATCAAGCTGAAATGCGAGCGGGTTCGTCTTGCGTACTGCAACCGGGTCAAACGGCAGCCCGGGGTCGAGCGACGAGCTCGGATGCCAGGCTAAGCAGACCAAATGTATTCGCAAGTTATCCGATTTCATCCTTAACATTCCGTTGCACTCACAGCAAAAGTGGGGCGAAAAAAAAGAAGGAAAACAATTAGAGAACTTTCTGAAAAACACAACAGAATCAAAATAACCCTTTTGAAAGTTAGCTTCAAAGAGTTTTGGGAATGTGGAATATAGCTTAAAAGGTAGTACCTAGAGAAAGTGAGTGCGATAAGCAAGGGGAATAACTCAAAGACTTACAAAAGCCCCAAAAGTACTACAATGTATCTGGCTAAAAATATCTGTATGATATAGCTATTTACTGTACAGTTAGATAGCAAAGCAAAAAGAGAGAAAATAAGCCGCAGAGATATACTTATATTTGTAAAATAGGATAACGAATAGATGGAGTTCCCATTAGGTAGGTGCTCCAAGGAATGTATACGATATAGGTAATCAATTGAGATGAGATCTATTTATATCTACAATTTCTAGATGTTCCAAGGAAACACCGAAAAAATCTATAGCCTCAAGGCTATACATAATTATAACATCCTAATCACATCCCAGTTTTGCTGAATCATCTGATTACAACTTTTAAATTTTCCAAGATATCTTAAAAACGCAGCAATTACGTGTCTTAAAATTCTCCAAATATGGTTGCAAAACCCTAAGTCAAATGTCGATAAGGGTATTTAATATTCGGCGAGGATAGCAGTATTTTCTTGTTTTTCTTTCCCTCTTTTATAATATGGTAGCAACTGATTATAGGGAACTAGAGCAGGAAAATTGACTACTTATCATTTTTGTCGTTTTCCTCGTTGCTTATAATTCTCAGGTGGTTCTAGCCTCGGACTTGGAACAAGCGCTTGCAAATACAGACAACCTGTTCGCTGCCTGTTGTTTATACCTTTTGTTGTTGTTGGTCGTTACGACCAGCATTGACCTCGAGCCGGGCAGCTTAAAATTCAGATGACTTGAAATGCTGATTTCAATATAACAATCCGATTTAAAGCGAACCTAATGAACTTCTGCAAGGAAGCAAAGTATAAAGGATACTTAAAGTATTCCAGCTGTGAATCGAACAAAAATAAGCTACTTAAACAGCGAACGTATCGAGCTCCTTGCTGCTTTAAGCTACAGATTCGGAGCAAGCAACTGTCGCCGTCTCGACAGTCTATGAATTTCATTAATTTAGTCATTCCGGGCTGGAGGCTGGGTGCTGGGAGCCTGAAGCTGGGAGCGCTCTCAAAATCAAATGAGGCACGGCCGCAAAGTTAACGATGTCTCTGCCTAAAAGTGTTGCGTGGCAGCGAGTGCTCCGCCAGCTCTTCGGGGACCTTTTTTTTCCACATTTCCATAGTGCTGCCCAAGGGCGTTGTGAACACACACACACACACACAGACACACACGCATAGGAGTGTGGCACGCAATCCTGACCCATGCCGACCCTGAGCTTGAGTTCAATGTACTCCCGTTGCAGCTTCACTGGCTTCACTTCGCCAGTGTCAAAGTCCGGTTCGTGCGGATAGTTGTTTTAGCTCCCGTCACCCGTCACCCGGCTCCCGATTCCTAGTTTCTCCTCCTCAGCCTTATAACAATTCTCTACATTCCGCATGGCTGCGTTTTGGGCTGCAGCAGGGACTGCGTTGCGCCTGCTGCTCGTTTATGGCCGCTGTCAAATTAATTGGCTTTTCCGGCGCTGGGCCGCCTCCGTTCGCTTGACAACTCATTTCCTCGGATCTCGAGCCTGCCATCTTATCGTTGGCCCCGCCCCACTGCCGCGTCCTATTTCTACCATGAATCTTTAAGTTCGCAGCTGATGGCGGCCAATATCGCAAGTGCTTGGTTCCAGACAAAAACATCATTATGAGCTGGATATCCCGCCATGTACAGCGCCCGATCGGATCAGTCCTCGCTTAAGGCTGTGACAAGCTCTTGAGCTGCTTGCGATTTGCCACTCGAAGTGGACCAATAACTGAGTGAGTTTTCTCCCAAATCTAGAGTAATCGTTATTCACTCAAAACTCGCTCGATTCCCCTAACTTCCCCTTGCTTTGGGACGTTTTGGTGAGTTTGGTGAGTCTGCACATTTTGCCGCGAGAGCTGATGCACTGCATCCGGACACAGCGACTGAGCTTTTGCTGCGGCGTTAAGCTTTCGTCTATTTTATAGCAAACATTAACGATATAAATCGTATATCGTATGGGACTTATTGCATATTTCCTTTTGGATAAGACATAATTTACGACCTACAATTATTCATTGCGGAATTTATGGCAAATTTTCATAAAAATCGCTTGGGAAATTTGTGAAACTAAGCTAAACGCGTATATTTTTACGATAAGAGCAAAAAATCCCTACCCTGTTTTGTAACCCTTAGCGAAGGCAACGCCACAATTAAAGTTTATCTATATTTCAACTTATTTTTAGCTTAAGCCGACAATTAATACAAATATTTCTTTTAATAATATCTTTCTGTTGAAAATGTCTGAATTTAGACGAAAGCTTAGTTTCTTTTCTGCAAATATTTGACCTAAGTGAAACGAACATATGGGTTCTGTGCAAAGTTTCTTTTATTGAAGATAAAGCTTTCATAAAACGTAACGGCTATATATCGAAAACTTCCTCTATCTTTCTGTACTTTTTAATAACTATGGCAAACAATTAGGTCTAGTCGAGAGTGCCCGACTAGGCTATACTCACTATACAAACAAAAAACCAAATTCAATCCAGTTTGCATTTTTTTTAAGCTTCAAGCGAAATTCCCATATCAAGAATTTGTAAAGGTTTGTCTTACTTTTCTTAATACGAACTTAAATAAAGTGATGAAATTCTTGCAATGAGCATGACAGACAATTTCGACACGAAAGTTTAAGTTCTTAAAGAATATTCAAATAAGGATAAATGCCTCAAATCGTAGCTATAAAACGGAGTTCTGTTCCGTTTATACCTGAAGCACGGCATATTTTTTTGGTGGACACCATCTGCTGCTGAATTTAAAGAGTTCACTTCGTTCACAAAAGTTGACAATTATGCGATGTTCTTTATTATCTTTTATATTTTCTTAAATATATATACACATATATATTTTTTTCATAAATTCACGACGCAGTCAGCGGCATCTTGTGGCTGCATTCTCTGCTTCTGATTGCCAGTGTGCAGGCAATTATGACTGCCTCATTAGGAGCTCTTTCACTCACACACACGCACACACACACACACATACGCACACACACACACACACTCACATGCGCATGCACATTTCCTGTTAACAACATGAAATTGTGGTAAATACGTTGGGCTAATTGATTATTAGACATGTGAGTTATGAAGCTGCAGAGATTTTGGTCGTTGATTTAATTCCTAATGCCTAATGCCTGGCCAGATTTTGGGCTGCTTCAGCCGTGCATCAACATTTCAGATGTTGCCTGCTCGCAAGTGTTAAATACTTTGGCCTAAAATTGATGCATTTGGTTAATCTGATTATTCCAAATGTGGTTTGATTTAACATTTGGGTAATGCTCGAATGGAACTATTCCTAACATTGTTCAGTGCTTCAATCAGTCTAGATATCTCTATGTATAAAACTGTTTGTCCTGACTGACTGACTGACTGACTGACTGACTGGCTGACTGACTGATTGGCGATCAACGCACAGCTTAAACCGCAAGAGCTAATGAGCTGAAGTTTTCACTGTAGTTACCGCTGTAGCTTCGCTTAATTAATTCTGACAACAGCAGCGTTTGCTTTATCCAAATTCTTATTAATAAGAGGTTTTTCCCGCTCAATTTCACTGCTTTTGTGTGAGCTTTTCTCTAGTTTTCGCTGGCACTTGTGGGCTCGCCGCAAAGTAGGCAGCACTTTAGGTAATTTAAGCTGCAAGTCTAGTGGCTAAGCGGCCAGACAGCACCGACTGCTAACCTTCAAGTGCGTGTGCCTGTGTGTGTGTTTGTGTGTTTGAGCCAAACTTCCGTTGCCAGTATGCGATGTCCTGGCAAGCGTGTCCTTGCCTGAGCCTGCCTAAGCGACTATGTAACTTAATATTTTCCGTTTGCCAACTGACAACTGCAACGGCAGCCAGTCGTGGTTTGCTATAGCTTTTGTTGCCAGCCATTTTGTTTTTGCACGGAAACGGAAACGGCATACACCCACACACAGGCACACACAGGCACTCACAAGCACCCTGACACACATGCGCGCAACTGAGTGTGTGTTGCCTGTGCATAAGGTGTGGATTAATCATTTGTATTGGCATTGAATGCGTTGCGCCAAAAACTGTTTGCGAAACGTCGCTTATCCCATTTTATGCGGCCTGCTTACAAATTAATTAGCAGCCCATTAACGGGCAAACAAACGGCTTAATTGGCCTACGGACAAAAAATGGAATAATCAAAAAAGTATTAACATATTTGCCAGCAAACATATATTCGACTTTTAAATACGTTTAAATTTCAAAAGCTCAGCACAAAAATAAATATTTTAAAAAACCTTGAAAACTATTTAAAAGAGTTCGACAGTGATTTGAATGAACCATATTAATATGAAAATTTAATTAAATTAATTCCTTATAGATTGGATCGGTTTTGACAAAGTTTTTGACAGTCGATGAATTGAACATTTTTTGTAATTTTTTTTTTTTTATACAAGATAACTTTTTATTTTATTTTTCAATCGTTTAATAATAATATTAATAATGTTATCTTTATAGGCCTCTATACAAAGCAGCTAAACTCAAAAATGACAAGGAGCTAAGCTTTAAGCTGCGAAGGATGAACTGATTCCATGAGTCCATCCTTAAGCCTTTAATGACATATGGCATAGAGCCTGCCTTTACATTCACTGTGCATATTCTATAAAGATTCGAGAAACAAGTTCTCCCTAACGCAAGCAAAACTGAGTCCATAGGCACCTTGGAGCTAACGCTTCCGCAGCCAGGTCTAGAGTCTCAGCTATGATAGCCTAAAAGTCCGCCGACTCTAGAGGAGTCAGTGAAGAGGACCTGCCCCTTAGGCCTCTCCTGGAGGCGTGAAGCACTATTAACAGTCACCCAGCCGTCTATTTGACACTAAGTTCTGGCAACACGACGAAATAAACGCAAAAGCACGAAAAACAAGGGCACGATTCCGACTAAAAAAATAGGTAAGTCAAATAATGAGCCATATCTATAACAATCGATGACTATTCTAAGCAAACTATTCTGAGACTTTGCTAAGGTCCGTCTTTCAACAGAAAGACAGGCAGTACAAATGTTAGAACCGGCCGAATCGGACTACTATATCATATAGCTATGACAGCTACGATCGGTCAAAAAGTAGGTATTTGAATAGACAACTTTTTAGTTAATCAAGATGAACCAAATCGTATGCATATTGCATTATTATAATATATAGTTCCATAGGAAGAATCGGTCGAAAGTAGGTTCTGTCCGTCCGTCCGTCCGTCTGTCCGTATGTATGAACGCAAGGATCTCAGAACCTATAAGAGCTAGAGACTTGAAATTGTAGCTATAGGTCCTCCTAGTCCCCGCGCAGATCGAGTTTGTTCCGATATTCGATAACTTGCCCCGTTTCCAAGTAATCGATAAAAATCGATATCGAAATCCTGTTTTTGAGCAATTTTGGTAAATAATATGAGCTAGAGTCACCAAACTTGACATGTAGCTACTATATATATATCAAGTATCTTTCCTTTTTTAGCTATCGCCTGTTGGAAGAAGAGGGTTCAGGGTATCCCCTAGTCGGGAGCTCTCGACTAGAACCTCGTACTTGTTTTTACTAATTTTGCATTTGCGAGCTTCGCTATTCTGATTGGGCAAATGTCTACAAGGGTATTAAATCTTCGGCGTGCCAAACATATGCTTACTTAAAATGCATTAAACAATTAAACAAATTTAACAATAATGAAAATTGTGGAGCATTAGCATTTTCTTAGAGCTGGCAGCTTTATTTTATAAAATTTAAATCAAGAAATTTTTAGTTAGATGAAATCTTGATCTGAAATTTGTTTAAGATGCTTGTGGCGTTTTCTCTTATGTTTTTTCTGTGCGTGCCACCGTCTCAGTTTCAGTGTCTGTTTTGTTTTGTCTTGTGCAGCGCTCAATTTCCATAGCATCGTGCAGCAATTTAATTTGAAATATGCAAATTGGCGCAAAAGTCTTCGACTCCGGTAGCTCCTGTGCAGCGTGTAAATAATGAATAACAAGATGAGCATGATAAACGCGTTAAGATACACAAACAACACACATAAAACATAACTAACAGATAGAGGATAAGCCCCGGCAGGTCTGGGCCCAAATGGAGCTACAGCTAGCTATATGCAGGTTCGGTAAGATCAGATCGTCTTGTTGCTCGCCCAGCTGTCTGTCAATGTCAGCTGCTTCGGCTGTTAAGTGGCTTTGTGGGTTTGGGGCCATGCCCACACTGTCATTTCCCTGTTGGCAGCCAAGAGAGCCACATAATGGCAACGCCCCCCGCTCTACGCCCACGCCCATGCCCACGCCCATGCCCATGCCCATGCCAATGCCTATCTGCCATCTTTATGCCATAGTCAAAGGCAAAGCCAAGCCAAGCCAAGCCAAGCCAAGCCAAGAGGCAACAGTCTTAAGGCGGCGGATGCGGCTCCTCTAAGTGAAATATTAAGTGTGAACGGCAAGTCAAGTGGAAGCCAGCGACACACACAGCGCAAAACTTTTTCAATTATAAACGCTTTGAGATAAGCAAAGCAACAAATACATATACGTATATATACATATATATAGCAGCAGCATCTGCTTGGAGTATCTTTTGGCCGCAATCCCTTTCTTTGCCCGCAACTACAACTTGACGCAGTTTTGTTATGTATTATATTATGTGAGCGTGGTGATTCATTGAATATTATTGTTTACTTTTATGCCACACACATGCACACACGTGTGCCACATGCGGTGGCAAATTAGATTTGTTGCCTTGTTGGTGGCCCCTTTTGTATCCGTATTCTCTTTATTCTGTTCTATTCGTGAAGCTTGCCTGTAATTAGTTCTTGTTCCAGTTGCATTTGAAACTTAAATAAGTATATTGGGCTTTTGCTTGAACTAGTTCCAGTTGCATTTATGGAATCGATTTCAGCCAAAAGAAAATAATTGAATATTGTCAGAATCCTGATACATGAATTTTGACCCAGAATAGTGTTGTCAGATTTAGATGCCAAATTGATCTAAAGACAAAGCCACGAACAAAGACCAAAACCTCATGAAAATCGGTTGAGTTTTGATCGAGTTATAGGAGTATGCCATTTTGACCTATGTCACATAAATTTGGACCCAATATATTGTTGTCAGATTTGGATAAGATATTTGAGGGTATAATTTGTACATGAATTTTGAAAACTGCCAAAAAAGTCGTGAAAAATGTGAGGTTTGGGAATCGTTTCAGCTTTTATATAGCCAAATAATGAAGAAATCGAAATTCCCGGCTTAAGCTGGTTAATAACTGTTTGAATATGGCTCAAACTGGCCAAGACTCATATATATGTATATAGGAAACTGTCGACTCGAAAATAATAATTAAAAGTATATTTAAATGGTTAAGTTCTTAAACTCAATGTTTGCTATCTCTCTAACAGCAATCAGAAGTTTTTCAAAGCCTTTCTTAAAGTTGCAATCGTGTCATTTATCTGTGTAGATTTAGTCGGATGAGGGAGGGGCGGCGGAGGTGTTGTTGGGTTGGTTGCACTTGCAACTGTCGCTGCATAGCTTGAAAGTGCCATGTCATTCAGGGGTCACACACAAATACACACGCACACACATTAAGCGCATAATGCCCGGCGACAAATCAAGCAGCAGGACGCAACATGCGGCACACAGGATGCAGCATGCAGCATCCAGTATGCAGCATGCAGGACAGCATAAGCAGCAGGAGCGGCACGTACGAACCGCAATGGCATAGCTGCTGTGATCTATCAGCACGTACCTACACACACACACACACACACACATATATTATGTATATATATATATATACGATTATTAATGAGTATTACCCGGCTTTGCCCGTACCAAGTGTTTTTGCTTCTCTAAATTTGTATGCATCCCCTTTCCATTTGACTCCATGAATTTATTTATTCTGCTTCGAGCTAAGCGAAGTGGATTTTCCGCAAACGATGCAACAACAGTTTTTCATCAATTTTTTCACACTTGCATTTGGAATTTTCGAAAATCTCAGCAACTTTCGTTATGGATATCTACTATCAATTTGCATTAAGGAAAGCAAATTTGTAGTTTTGATAAAATTGCACAATAATGGCAAGGAATTACAGATCACGACTACCGAATGACATTTGTATACATTTTGAATGGCAACCAAAACTGCAATGGAACTGAGTTTAGTTCTGATATCAACGAATTTTGAACAGATTATAGAGAGCAAATTTAATACAAATTCGGATTGTTAATAGATAATATGATAATACTTAGCGATGGATGACCACCGATAACTTGGTTAATCAGTCAAACAGGACAAACTCTTCTACATATATAGAGTATATATATATACATACTAGCGGGTATAACCCGGCCTTGCCCGTGGCGAGTATGTTAAAAATCAACGTTCTCAAAAAGCTTTGAAAATGATTTTGAAACTTATCGGACGGCAAACAAACATACAAACGTTTGCCGCCAATTTACCAATGTTGCGAGTGGAATATCCCAAATTGCTGAAACACGTATTCATTATATTCCTATGTAGAGCTTTGAAAATAAGTTTGAAGCAAATCGGACACAACTTAAAACTTCGCACAAAAAATCTTTGAGTCGCATTCCACCCGAAAAAGTTTGGATTCTGCGAAAAGTGTGAAACACGTCTCAAATGATTTTTCTTATAGTATTTTGGAAACGAATTTGAGCGCGAAACGTCACCCACCAAATCTTTGACCTCCATTTCCACCAAGGAGGAACGGATTTTTCGAAAAGTGTGAAACACCCCTAAAATGAATTTGAACAAAGATCTTTGAAAATAAGTTTGGGGCCGATCGGAACGTAAACATAAAACTTTCATACAACCGTTTTCCGCCAATTTACCACTATTGCGGGTGGAATTTCCCAAATCGCTGAAATACGTATTTGTTAAGTTCTTATGTAGAGCTTTGAAAGTAAGTTTGAAGCAAATCGGACACAACTTGAAACGCCGCCCAAAAAATCTTTAAATTGCATTCCCCCGAAGAAGTTTGAATTCTGCGAAAAGTGTGAAACACGTATCAAATGATTTTTCTTATAGATCTCTGGAAATGAATTTGAGCGCGAAACGTCACCCACCAAATCTTTGACCTCCATTTCCACCAAGGAGGACCGGATTTTCCTAAAAGTGTGAAACACCCCTCAAATGAATTTGAACAAAGATCTTTGAAAATAAGTTTGAGGCAGATCGGATGGTAAACAAAAAAGTTACATACGAACGTTTTTCGCGATTTTTGCACACTTGCGGGTGGAATTTCCCGAAACGCCGTCTTAACGTGCACCTACATCACATAAGGTAGCTACAGTGAAAATTTCAGCTTCCTATCTCTTACGGTTTTGGCTGTGCGTTGATCACCAATCAGTCAGTCAGTCAGTCAGTCAGTCAGTCAGGACAAACAGTTTTATATATAGAGATATATATCCATACATACACACACACACACACACTGGCACAGTCACAATCAGGCTGCCCTGGGTGGGCTCTGTCAATGCCGAAACTTGGAGCTGGCCGAAATGTTTGAATTCTCATTTTTTGTAATTGGGTCAGCACAATAAGAATTATTTCAGAAAATACAACCCCAAAAAATACTTCAATGCCGAACCAGATGTCACGCCGCAGCAGCAGCCGCACAAGCAACATGGTCGGGCAGCAGGAGATGAGACCGGACTGCGGGCTCGCGCAGACCAATAGTGCTGCCGGAAGCAGCAGCAGCAGCAGCGCGAGCAGCAGCAGCAGCAGCAGCAGCGCGAGCAGCAGCAGCAGCAGCAGTGGTAGCGGGAGTGGCAGCAGCAACAGCAGCGGCGGCGTTGATATAATCAACGGCAGCAGCAGCGTGTCCAAGCTGCGACCCCTGGCCAGACTGGATCGTCTGCTGCGCCGCTGGCTTCCGGGCTACAACTATTTGCGTGGTGCTGGTGGCGGCATTATCGGCAGCAGCGGTGGTAGGCAATCGCCTGGGACGGGTGCGGTGACGCCACCATTGAATGCTGTGGAACAGCAGCGGTCCGGGCGGCAGACACCGCTCACCGTTGATCCACCGCTGACGGTCAGGAGGCGACGGGATGGGGAAGTGTTATTGGATACGGGCATTGCCAAATCTGAGTTCTGCTTGAAGTTGGAAAAGCTGCTGCGGGCCAAGCTAATTGTCAAGGATTAGCGGCTAAACTCAGCAGCTGCAACAACAACAGCCAAGAGCACACACACACACACACACACACACACACACATACACACGCACGCACACAACAAAAAACAAAAAAAAATCGATGATGGTGATTAAAGAAAAGAAGAATTAAACAGTGTTGCAGTCGTTGTCATAGATATGAATATATATTATATATAAAACAAAACTCTTTTCCCGATAATCACACACCATAAATTACAGTTAATAAATTTGATTTGATAAATTTTAAAATACAACCCGGACCACCCGAGCTGCCAAATAACTGATTATACTTATATAACTCATATAGAAAGATTTAATTTTGATTAGCCAGCATCCTTCCTACCACATCGCAGTGTCCTGTGTGCGCTCAAGAAACTTACCCACTTACTTTTCGCCCCATTTCGCACTGATACTTATCTGATTTATGGCCGTTTAGCCAGCGACAATGCTTCCAATATTATCGTAATTATGTATTTATTATGACAATGCATCCAATATAAGTACAATATAATACAAAAAAAAAAAACAAGAAACTAAGAATATTTTCGGCATGCGGAAGACTCAATACCCTTGTAGACATTTGATGTGTGAGAAGAGCGAAGCTAGGAAGTGTTGAGTTTAATGAAAATACCTTAGAGAATAGAAATCTTCACGAATCATCCTATATAGCTATATAATATAGTAATGCAATCTGAATAAGACTTGACTCATTTATGAGCAGCATATGGGCATGGCTGTATAAACTCGGCAGTTAAAGCTGATCAAGAATATATACATATATACTTTAAGGTTTCGGAGATGTTTCCCTCTATGCGTTGCACATTTTATGACAAAATTAGAATACCCTCTATAAGGTTAAAAAACGGAGCTGAAGTCGGGCATGCCCGACGGGCAGATACCCTCCTAACATGGACCAAAGCCCAAAGCTCGACCTTTAAGAAAGAGTTCTTATATATATAATACAATACAATATAATGCGTTAAACGTCATTGCTCTAGTCAAGTCTCGGCATATATTGATAATTTGGAAGGATCTGCCTTAAACAATCGGTTTACTTACCATTTTATGGAGGAATGGGGTTGGAATCAAAAAAGTGATATATGCTTAATCTGTATTTTTATAAATTTTTAAATTATCGAATTATGCTTTAATAAACCATGTCTATAAATCGAAATGCGACCAAAAAATGGCGCTGTAATTCGACTGTGATCGTAATCACGAGGACTGTAACATTAATGTTACATTAATGTTTTGTCTTGTTATAGTTGGAGAGAGTGTTCGAGTTAATAAAAAAATTTTTAAAAAAACCAATTCCATTTTGCAGCCATTTTTCGCAGACCTCTCTTTAGAATTGACCATATGAAGGGCACTGCAAAAAGTCGAAATAACTTAACAAAGTTAGGGTATTTGAGTGGCTGCAACGAAATGGGCCAGAAATTATGGTGGCACAGTTTGTGATTTATGTGGTCTAGAGATGGGCGCGGGTCTCACGAGGTCTCTCGATGCCCGGCCTGGCACGAGCACAAGCAGGAAACAAGCCCAGCCTTGCACGAAATCCAAAAATCATACTACCTTTGTGTTTATTTGGGAGAGAGATTTGAGTTTAACAAATTCTTGACTTTTATTGGGCTTTGGCTAGTAGATTTGTACGAATTGATAGTTAGAGAAAGGATTGCGATATTCAAACCGTGCTTTAACTTTTTGCCTTATCGTGCCTGTATTTTTCGTGCTTTTGAGGACAGGCACGGGCTCACACGAAGCACGAAAATCACGTGCCGCGCCCAACTCGAATGTGGCACCACTCGCACTTGCAGCGTTTCAATATATCAATATGAAAATATAAGCAATATATCAATCAGCCCGATGACAAACACAGACACACGCACAGAGCCAACAAAGGGGAGTTCTGGGTGGGCGGCGACGGGGGCCGGGCCGCCATTGGGGGGGCGCTCATTAAAATTAATTAGAAATAATAGCCGTAAATGCGTAAATTTATAGACATCAAAAACAGATATTAGCTGTGGCAACATCAAAATTGTTGGGTAATAAAATAAATATATGCCTGTTTGTCAGTTAAATAGCCGCGAAAATTGCCCAAAAATGAGTTAACAAAGTGCCCCCAATGGCCAAGTTGTTAATCAGTCAAAAGCCAGCAACAATTTCAGCGCTTAATTAAAAGCAAAAAAACAAAAATGAAGAAAACTTTTGCCAGCCTCTGGGGAGAGCAGCTCGCAGCACGGCAACAAATTGACAGCCCAGGCCAGGCCTTGAGGGGGGAATCGGTCTGACAAGTGGAAGCTATTGATTTGGTCGCTCGTCAAATGTCAGCCAAGTAACTCGAAACAGTAGCTTTTAAGAAAATGAGTGTAACCCAAAACTAAGCTATTGTTTACGATATTGTGCTTAAATTTTATGCGCTGGCTTGAAAACAAGAAACCATTTTCGCTCTTGACAACAACTGAAAACAATATTACGCATACGCCACGCCAGACGAAGAACCACAAAACAGCTCGTTAAGAGGCTGCTTAACTTCTGTGTGTGTGTGTGTGTGTGTGTGTGTGTGTGTGTGTGTGTGGTTAACTCTGCATGGGGTGTGTGTGTGTGTGTGTGTGTGTGTGTGTGTGTGTGTGTGTGTGTGTGTGTGTGTGTGTGTGTGTGTGTGTGTGTGTGTGTGTGTGTGTGTGTGTGTGTGTGTGTGTGTGTGTGTGTGTGTGTTGTTATCTCCCTCTCACTCTGTGTGTGTCTGAAGACCTCTTACAATTTGCTGGCTGAGCACTTGACTTGCGTCGTTTACATGAACATTAATGTGAGTTTTGCTAACGCAGCTGCCGGTTGTTGCCGCTGCCGCTGGCTGAATGTGCGCCTTGGGTAGAAGCCGCTGCTGACCGCAGCACGGCCAGCTGGCAGAGCACACAGTGTGGCAAGTATTTCATAAAGGAAGCTGCTGCGCCTGTTTGTCACTCTCAACGAATGTGGCAACAAAACTGTAGCCCCATTTTTTTTTTTTTTGCCATGCGTCCACTCGACAGCCAAATATTTATACAAGCACATATGCATGCATGAGTATATATGTTACGTACATATATACATATATATATATATATATGTATATTAATTTATTTTTGAATTACGACAAATTAAGGGTCACTGAAATGGTGAGTTCAAAGTTTGTCGTTTACCCTGATTCTGCATTGATTTGCTGGCAAACAATGTGCACTCGGTCTGTCAATTGTGCAGGTCAATTGGCATTTAAGCCTTGGCTTGGCTTCTTCCATATGAAGAGCTTATTGTGCACGCTTGGATTGCGCTGATTAGTCGGGTATTCATTTGTGCTGCATTCCGGCATTCAGCTGTGAAACATTCCCATAGAACACAAGCTGCATTTGTTTATATTCTGTTTATTTGGCATTTATTTTGTTTGATTTTGATTTCGTTATCGATTGAATTAAAAAGTTTACATTAAATATTAATTAAAGTTTTGCCATTTGTAGACGCTATTCATAAGTATTATTAATCTAAATAAATTTGTCGTATTACATATATATTCGTATTCGTATTCGTACTCGTATTCGTACTCGTATTCGTAATTGTATTCGTATTCGTATTCAGTATTATTTATATGCATTTATTTAATTTAATGTTGAATTTGGAAGAAAATAATTGCTTAAATACATTATTGTAAGTCTTAGCCCAAAGAGGATAAACGTTAAATTTTTATTGCTATTTTGAATATCTGTAAAAGCGCCGCAAAACTGGGCAACAATTTTGTTATTTTTATTATTCGTTACTTTTTTTTTTTTCAAGTTTTCGATGTGGTTACGTTTTTTGTTTTGGTGGGTGATTGAATGATTGGTGGTGATTGACTGAATGGCTGTTGATGTTGTTTCTGTAGCTACAGTGAAAATACTTAATCAGAGGCGACTTTGATATGTTTATGTATGTTCTTCCGATTTCGTATGATCCAAACAACATTTTCAATATGATAATTTAGTTAGTAAAAGAGTCAAGTTAAGATATCATATTGGTTAAGTTTTTACGGTTGGATACGTGTTCGGTTTGTCTCGATTTATAAATACTTTTGATTCAATGTTCAATTTTAAAAGAGCGAGATAGAGAGAGGAGAACTTTAATTAATTTATTTATCGCTTTGTAATTACTATAATTAAATTTATGTGAGCTGGCTTGGCATCTGTATAATATTTATATTATTAATGCTGTGGCCCAATGCACATAAAGTAAAGTATTTTTTTTTTGAGTGTTTTCTATTAATTATTATTGAAATTACTTGTGTATTATTGGAATTCGTTTAGCTGTGCGTAAGGAGCAAATGGCATTTGATATCTGAAAAGTTGTTCTCCCCAATTGTTATCGGTATGAATATGGCTGTGGAGCTCAATCGTAGCTCAGCGAGACCGTCGACTTTGGCGTGGGCAGCGGCGATGTGGTGTTCTCCTCCTCGTCATCGTTCTCCTGCGAGTCCTCCGGCTCGCCCAGTGCGTGTACAAACTCATAAAAATCAATGCGTCCATCCCCATCCACATCCACCTCCTTGATCATGTCCTCAACTAGAGAAAGTAATGCAAGTAAAGTAAGCTACAGATATGGCCTACATTCAGCACGATGCATAAAGTAGGTAAAGTGGGTGGCTCCAGTCGGGTATGCCCGAACAGGAGATACCCTTCTGCCTTTAGAAACATTCTTCTTCCTGCTTTTACATACACAGACAGTTTATGGCTGTGCAGGCTGTGCTGCTCCCCTTTGCTGCTTACTAATACATACAAATGTATTCGGTGCTTATAGTCCGATCTTAATAAAATTTTCAGCACAAGCGCAAAGTTTTACTAAACAAAAACCTATAAAGCAAGTTTGGTGTATCTGGCGCCCATAATTTTGGCGTTCTGCATGTATCAAAATCGATTTTTATCGATATAATGAGATATCGATAAATAAAACGGTTATACGTATGGTATTTGGAAATATATATGTATTTCAAATTTCAAGATCCTATCTATACCTATTTGTTTTGACCGACTTGAAAATTGACGACTTAGTTCGTCATCCGGAACCTGCGATACTTTCTACTCACATTCGCAGAAAAAAATATTGTACACTTTTTGGCGCATGTTCAATGATTTGAAAAATATACGTACTATCCTCCTCGTCGAGATCCTCGCCCAGGCACTGCAGCACAGCACGTAAATCGGAGGCGGTTATGTAGCCACGATTGTGCTTGTCAAAGACACGAAAGGCGTCGCGCAGTTCGCGCTCCTCCTGGTCGGCCGAGGATAGGCCCGACTTGTCCTCGTAGGTCATGTTGGAGAGTATGTCGACGAACTCCTCGAAGCTGACATTGCCGTCACCTGCAAGGCAGTCGATAGAGATAGAGAGGAAGAGAAAGAGAAGAAGCGCCGCAGTTGGGGCGCTAGTTAGTTGGGTCTACCCACCATCCACATCAATCTCCTGCAGCATCTCCTGCAGCTCCTCGACACGCGCAAATTGTCCCAGCGAGCGCATAACTGTGCCCAGCTCCTCCTTAGTTATGCAGCCGTCGCCATCCTTGTCGAACAGACGGAATGCCTCACGGAACTCTGTACGGCATATGGGAAATGCACATTGACAGTCGGTCGGTTGGTCGGTCAAGCCTGATATAAACTGCAACTTACCACGCATTTGTCCTTTCGAGATGCACCGACGCTTGTCCAGCGCATCCGCATCCGCCTCGCCATGGCCGGCATCTACCGCATAGGAGCTGGCCCGCTGCGAGAATTGGCGTGTTTTCGCTTTGCGCTTGCTCCGCAATATTCCAGTCTCAGTGCCCATATCTACTACGGCTTTGCCAGCTGGTGCAGCTGTTCGCACGCTCAGCGCTGCTTTCAAGGGTGCACGCTGCGTGGCCAGCTGCTCGTAGTCATCGTACTCCTCCCCATCCTCCTCCTCGTCGTCGTAGTCATCTGCATCATCGTCGTTATACTGCTCGTAGACCACATGCTCGCCGAGATTCCGCTGCGCATAGCTGACTCGAGTGCTGTGCCGCGTTGCGGCCGAAGTCGTGCCGCCGCTGGCCGCCTCGCACGAGCTGGAGTCCGTATCCGCATCGGAAGCGGCATTGCTGGCGCCACGTGGTTGTTGTTCTTGCTGCTGTTGTTGTTGTTTCTGTTGGGTTATCACTTTCTTGCGTTGTCTTTGGCGACGATGCGGCGGCTTTGCCGCTGCCTGCTGTCCCTGCAGCTCGTTTTTGTGCCGTTCTGGGCCAACAGCCGGCTGCTGCTCCTGCTGCTCCTGCTCGTCATCTGTGCCCGCCGCCAACTGCTCCTCGTCGGGTTCATCGCCACTAAGCGGCGCGTTTCTCGTCTATCGAAAGATTAAGCGACTTTTTAATGTTAAGCAGCCGAAGATCAAATTCCCTGACATGCAGACATGTCACAGCGGTCTGATATAACTATTTCCCTCATAGTTCTATCTGTGCTTTCCTGTGCCGACATTCGTCTACTCAAATGATATGTAATATGCCAATTGACCTGAACTAAGTAAGAAACTGCTTCAAATACTCAGATATGTTACCTTGTGTCCAAAAGGGAACCAAGCATTTCGTTGGCATCAACACAAATAAGATTAACAATTTTTAAGATCATCAAACTTTTGTCCTTTAAAGAGAGCTGTTTCAAACCAGTTAGCGGAACATCCGGTCAGAGGAATGCATTTTTTATGGAATCAATGACTTGCATCGCCTAACTTCTCCGGCTATGGAAGCTGTCCATAATGGGGACTTTCACATATGTGATGTCATGTATATGACATAGTCTGATATCAAACCAAAATATCTCATCATTTGAGAGATTGAAGATTACATTTAAAAGACTTGGTCAGACTTCGTTCGTCTTTAGGCGATCGGAGTTAATAATATTCTTTAGTGGGGCCTTACCATTAGCTGCCTCAGCTCACGGGCAATGGTTGAACCAGTTAAAAACTTGTTAACTGCCGTGAAAAGGCGTTTTCCTTCCAATTTGACGGCCTTGGTTGCGACTGCTTTGGACTTTAAGTATTGCTCCCGCTATTGAATGTCCACCAGCTGGGGCCAATTATGGGTTCCCTCTCTGTCTCTTTCTCTGTCTGCACTCTAGTTAACCCGTATCACGCTCAGCGGTTGCGGCAAACATTCGATTTTGTTGATTAGACGCATTTGTGCCAAACCTCTGTTTGTCCTGCTGCCCGGCGTTGCGCGTCCTGCTGCACCCCGTTCGGAGCACGCTGCAAATACAATTGGAAAGAGCAAAATGATAATTAAACAATTTACTCGTTGAATGCAATTCAATTGGATGCATCCAATTGATGCCAGCCATGTGGCCCGATCAATGCCGTTAACGTTCGCATTCGCATTCAAATTGGCACGTTTCTAATTTTTGTTGCTGGCTAACGGCCTCGACGTGCCCGTCTCTGAATGGGCCTCGGCCTGGGGGGCTGGGCCAGAAGGAAGGCAATGGGTTTACGAAACAATAGATGGACACACACAGGCTCACACACATACTGGCTGCTGCCTGTCAGCTAATCAAGCAGATGCTGGAAATCATCATGCAAATTGTATGACAGGCAGTTTACCAGTTAACTGGGGACACGGACGGAATTGGCTGTTCGGATGGAAGTGTGGTTTAGGGTTTGTGCAACTGGCAGCCACAAGCTCAATGCGACATTGTGTTGCAGTTAATTCAACAGCCGATGGTTTCGCTTTAACCATTTATATTCTCTGCTACGCACTTACTATGTAAATTCTTGCTACGGTTCAGAGTCCTCCATGTTCAGTTTATTGCATAATGCCATTTAGTTTTGTTACTACTATTATATTTCTAACATTTTTGCATCTTTTACACTACAACAAATAAACCAACACACCCTCCATGGTCACTTTATTACAACAATCCAAGGTATGTAAAAGAACTTTAAGAAGAACAATTCGCAATATGATTAAATATTCTACCCTTAACCCTTTGTCCATGCTTTTACTCTTGTCCTCCATGCTCAGTTTATTGCATAACGTTATATATATATATTGTTTTTTTTTTCTACTTTCAGGTAAGTACGACTTTCAAAACTATAATAATCGAATTTAATTAATTCATACGTCCTCCATGGTCACTTTATGACAATAATCAACGCAGACAATGGTATGTCAATGAATTATTAATAGCAACTACAATACTTCTATACTATATATTTACTTCCTACATCTATACTTTCATACTTGTACTCTTGTCCTCCATGTTCAGTTTATTGCACTTATTTAATTGACTTTTGCTAAATGCTGCTATTTATATTTTATATGCATACAACACTTGAGGCTAAAGCACCATTAAATGACGTACCCGTCCTCTATGGTCACTTTATCAGAACAATCAACCCAGCTTTATGTATGCTTAAATATGTTGCTAAACTCTTAGTCTTTACTCATTCTCTTGCTTCTTTTACAATTGAATACATTTAAGTAGTTTTTAAATGGCAGTTACATAAACCCGCGCGTGTCCATGTTCACTTTGTTACAACAATCAACTGTGTCAATGGCATTTCAACAAAGTTCTAGCAAACTGCAACTGCAACAATATGCTTAAATATATTGTCTACTGTCTCCACTTGTGCCTTTGTCCTCCATGTTCGTGTCTTGTTGAACCGCTGACCTCCATGGTCACTCTATAACAATAGTCGATGCTTTTGCAGAGTAACTGATGGACGACTAGCCGGCAGAAAGCCACTTAGCTACCGCTGTGGAATGTGCATTTCATTGGCTAAATGATAATCAACATTCAAATGAAGAAGTTGTGGATACTCGAGTCATCCAACAAGTTGGACGGCGATTATCTCTGGCTGTTTGGTAAGCCGCTGCTGCTTAGGAGCCTTACGCGATGACTTGGCACGTCTTGTTAATGTGTTTAATCTACGTGACACGAGAGACTCTTGTCTTGCACGCAAACGTTCCTGCACTCTGCCCTCTGCCCTCTGGCTGTCATCGAGGCGCACAGGGCGTATGTGTAATATGCCAAGACTGACAGCCAACAAGCAGCCATAAATGTTGGCACAGTGATTGTGATTGATGTGCTGGCAGGACAACTCAAGACAGACAACACACACAGAGCGAGAGAGAGAGCGAGAGAGAGAGAGAGAGGGCAACTCAGTATGCTGACAGTGAGTCAAGCAGGCTGTGACTGACTTTCTGTTTATGGCATTTGTTGTTTAGTAGCCAAACATTTCACATATCCAATATTTAGTTTTCACATTTCGACACTTTTTTTTTTGTTTTGTTTTATTTTTCTGTTTTTTTTTTTTGTGTTGTGTGAGCTTTTCTTTTTTACTTGCGATGGATAAGAAACATGCCTCCTGCATGAACATGCATACTAATCGGAACGTGAAGCTGCTCATCGAGAAATTCGAAGGTATGGGCGAGCGCAAGGTGGAGCTGGTAGCGGGCAAGAAATCGGACTTGAATATACATTCGCTGACTGGACGTGTCGCCGAGACTGTGGCCAAATTTGAGCATTGCAGTTTCTTGGGGCATTCGCGGATCCAGCTAACATGTGGAGATCAAGCCACCGAGCGCTGGCTGGCCGAACTGAAACAAAAGATGCTCGGCCCAGTAGCTCAGTCGTCTCAGGTTGCGGTGGTGATTGAGGAGCAGCAAAAGGAAAGTCAAAAGATTCACAATGAATGCTTCGAGTTGGATGTGGAGAAATCCAAACACAAGCTATCCTTGGATTGCTCTAGCACAAGCATTTTCAATCCCAACTTTGATCTATCGGGAATACCCAGCTTCAATGGCTTTGAGTTCTGTAAATATCATGTGTTCTGCAAAACTGGACTCTACTTTATAAACACTTCTCCTATATTAAGCTAGCCCATTGATGCTCTGTTCCCTATCTCGCCAGGTGATGCGGAGTGTCTATTCGTGCGGCCGAGCCTTAGTTGCACTTGGTAAATGGCTCGCACACGTCTTGTGTCGCTTCCTCCCATCGATTGGACGCAGCGACAGTTCCTTAAAAATGCTCTATCAAAATTAGACCCTAACCAGTAGTTCGCAATTTAGTTAGCTTTTACGATTGGATGCCAAACCAAGGTCACGGCTGGGACGATAACACAATATCTATGTACGTCTCGTGAGACCATTAAAAATTCTAGTGTATGTTGGAAAATTTTCGATATCGTTAAATGTTGCCGTGTTTTTAAATGGGAACCGGAGCATGTCGATACCTGGGGGTGGGTAAAAGGGAGATGGGTATGGTTGTTGTAAATGAGGCGACAGCAAGAGAAAATGTTGAGGCATCTCGCCATCTGGGCTTGGCTAAATAGAAGCAAAGATGAGATAAATGAAAGGAAATTAAGTGCCAATAGGCCACCTACTCTCCGCCCATGCTGGCCAGGAAAAGTAATCGAGATGTTCAAAGTGAAATATCAAAAGCAAAGCTGAGATAAATGAAATGAAATTAAAGGCCAATTGGATGTAATTAGCAGAAATATACCAAGAGAGCTGGAGGAGGCCAGAAATGAGTCTGGCATCAAACAAATCCAAGAATCAATAAAGTCATCTGCTCGCAACAATTTCAAGATAAATCATAAAAAAAAAACCATGGAAAATTGCTCGGAAATCCCACAAAATTAATGTGGGAATAAAGTCAGAACAAACGCAAGACACCAAAATAAGACCAAGAGGCAGAGGGAGAAAGAGAGAAAAGTTAAAGGTGCGCTAGAGAGACAGGGGTAAGAACCATCAAGAGATTTTGAGAACGGGGCAAAGCGCAATTGAGTTCATTCCAGGCAAAAGATTTATTTGCCTCTTCTTCTTTTCTTCATTTGGTCAAAATTTAAATTGGATTTCAATTGCTTGTGCGCACAATGTTGCAACATATTTCATTTCGCGCACATTTAGCCACCTCGCAAGGATGCCCCAGGACATCATCATCATCAAGAACATCATTACGAGCAACATCAGCGGCTGCAGGGCTGCCCGCACAATAAAATGCCTGCGTGCGTCCAGTGCGGAAGGATGTGACGGACATGGCCCACATGCAGCTGCCGGCTCTCTCTCTCTCTCTCTCTCTCGCTCTCTTCCTGGCCAGCTGGCTGGCTGGCTGGTTGGCTGGCAGACCGCAAAATAAATGGCCAAAAGGAAGTGCCAAGGCGACAACAAGGACGAGGTCATTGGACAGCCAGCATGCCCAAGCATTAAATCCTTCTCTGTGCCAAGCAATTTCCATCGCCCGCTCGCTTTCCCTTACTTGCCCCTCTTTGCCACAACATGCAAAATGGCCACGAATACGTAAAGCTGCACACTGATGGATTTACATGCCAGCAAAACCACACACAAACACACACTCACACACACAAACACACACATGTACACGCACACACACACACGCGCCCTCATATAATTACCGTTAACCTGGTCGTTAAGCGGTTAAAATATGCCATCAACTGAATTTCTGGGGCTTGGCATTTGCATTTAAGTAGTTCGAGTTCCTGCCTTCAAATCATCATCATCGCCAGCGCCATCTTCATCATCATCATCATCTTCATTTTGATGTGCAAAAACTTTTTACTCATTCTGCAATTCCAATTTGCATTCCACACACACACACACACACACACACACACACACACACACACACACACACACACACACACACACACACACACAGACACACACACACACAGACACACACACACACAGACACACACACACACAGACACACACACAGACACACACACACACACACACACACACACACACACACACACACACACACACACACACACACACACACACACACACGCACACGCACACGCACACGCACACGCACACGCACACGCACACGCACACGCACACACACGCACAGGGACACCTTTTGCAAGTTTTATGACATCGCCGCGAAAAAAACAACGAAAATGTAAACTGTCTGTTTGTCGGGGGCCATGCACACAGCCAACCCATCAAAATTGTCAGCAACTGACATGAAATAAATGAAGACACCGCTGACACGCCCACGCCCACGCCGCCCACCTTGCCCCGCTATGCGGCGCGTCACTAACGCGCTTTGCATAACTTTGTCAGCCGGCAGTTGATTTGTTTATTAGCAGCAGCAGGAGCAGGAGCAGCTCAGAAACTGAGGCGCCACCGCATCAAGTTGCAAGTTAAAAGTTGAAGCCAGCTGCTCCAGCAGTGAGTGGCAGGAAGACAAACAGAATCTGAAAACGGGAATGGCTACTTTAAG